CTTAACTCTCCAACACACACACACACACACACACTCACACACACATGTGTACATACGCACGCACGCTCACTCACAGACACACACACACACACGCACACAGACACACATACACACACACACACATTACACAGTCTCTCTATTTAATCTCTCTCTACAATGTCTCTACCCCACTAAGGCCTATCCTATCAGTTGTATACTAGTACTTTAAACTAGCTATATTGTTTCCTTTTTTTCAGCTCCACAACTTATCTATGGCTCCAAGCTCAACTACATTGTCTTCGATTACCTTTCGGAGATTACAATGTCGCTCCTCACGGCCGCCAGGAGAAAAAATCCGGTAGCTTTGTCTTTTTAAGCAAAACATTTTCTTGTACTTAATGTTATATCTGTACCTTCTCTTGAATTCTAGATTCTTATTTTCTTATAATGAATTTAGAAAATGTAAAGAATTCGACAGTTTTTGAAGGAAGTGAGTACCCAAATCCATTTGTGGAAGTTCTGTAAAGATTTGTTCATTTTTTCGCTCTGTCCCAAAGCCTGAAACTAACATTACACTTTTTGACATCAAACAGCTCATTACTCTTTGTAGAATAGTTACATTTCTTTCAAGTGGACATATCAGAGGTGGAGTCGGTGGCCTAGTGGTTAGGCAGGCGGACTCGTAATCGTGAGATTGCAGGTTCGGGGGTTCGAGCTGACGTTGTGTCCTTGGGAAAGGTACTTGACACGAATTTCCCACTTGGCTCGGTCCTTTCGGAGACGGACGTTTAACTTGGAGGCCACGCCTCTTAAATAACCTCATAGTGTTGATAGGGGCGTTAAACCTGTACCATTTCACCATATATTTTTTTCGGAGATATCAGTGCATGGTTTCATACCTTGTTTTGTCCTTAAAAGTATCAATTGCAAGCATGCTAGTAATTTCTAGTACTGTGTGAATTCAACATGATGTTTGTGTAGGATTTGATAGGATTAGCAACTTTTTGTCTTCCCATTTACATTAACCAAGTGCAATATGTTTCTTGATCTCCCTGCGTTATTCTTCTCAGGATATGGGCTACACCCCTGACTTTGTCCAAGTTGTTGTGGCTCCCTTTGTGAAAGACATCAAGGCCAGGGGTTTGTAAATTAAAATTTTTCTTTTGTCCTGTGAAATGTAGAACAAACAGGATGTTGTTCAATGCTCTTAAAGATAGAAAGTTGGATAGTTCTTTTTCTCCTGAACTAAGAGTCTGTGAAGGGTACTTACAATTAAGCTGACATTTCATGTTAGTGGACTATTCTTCGAAAGTTTTCGTGTCTTTCTTTGTGAAAATGATAGCCAACAGTCATATTACAATTGTTTAAGGCATTTTTTTTTTCATTGTAGATATGTGTATCTGTTTTGTTTTCTGTATCCCTCCTTGTTATTGTTTCTGATTTTGCTTCATTTAAATATGTATCTCCTGTGCTTTCATTATCTTACCATTTCCATTGTATTGTTTTTCATAAAATGATATGATCTGACCTGACATGCTGCATCATTCAGTACTGTGGATAACTTTTTTTCCCCCTCATCATTCTCAGGAATCAAATTGATTGCCAATGCAGGGGGGATTAATCCGTCGGGGTGTGCGGACGCCTTGAAAGCTGTGTGCAAAAAAGAAGGGGTCGATCTCAACATCGCTGTTGTAAAAGGGGATGACCTCATGGCACAGGTGAGAAAAAGCTTACCCAGAGGGAGGGGGGGGGGGGAATCTGCATTATCAGTTAAGATCATGGGCGAGGTGCAACAAGATGTGATCATTTTTATGAATTGTCTTTGAGAATTTTTAAAATGATTAGAAAGTAAAAATATTTGTTCACCCCCCATCAAAAAAATCTATATAGATAGATATTGGTAAGCATCTTTCCTTTGGAAAGGACTAGTTGCACTATTTCCTGCATCTTTATTATAATTCAAGATAGGTGTATCAAGTGTTATACAAGCTGAAGATCTTGACTAAATAAAAGTTTTTGAGAAATTAAACATCATCAATGATTGGCCTTAAGAAGTAATTTCAATGTGTTTTCAGTGCTATTCTTGATCTTAGAATGCTTATATTTATTGTAATTGTTTACACAAATTTTTGACTGTTAGTTAAGTACAAATGTATACCAATGATATATCACTCCAGGTTCGAGATCTGAAAAAACTGGGAATTACAGACTTGGACTCAGGAGTTCCATTTCCGGAACAGCTCCACAGCATGAATGCCTACCTTGGGTAAGTCGAAGTCGTAAAGGAGGGAATTTCTAGTGTGAACTGTTTTTTTGGTTTTGTTTTTTTTAAATAGTAGAGGATTTTACGGCGCTCGCAACTGCATAAAGTCATATGAGTGCCAAGGGAGAAGTCAACAGAGAAGTCTTTACAGGGAACCAGGCTTACCCTGCTCACCTCTCTAGCTTCAACAGCACAAGGTCTGCTTCGACTATCAAGGCACCCCAAAATAGCAGGTCACAAGAGAGTGACAAACATACAAAAGAAGTTGAGGAAAATGACAATAGTAAGGATCAGGAAAGAAAAAACAGCCGTTCCCTTTTGTAGATCTGGCACAGTTATGAACGTGACATGAGTCAGCCCATTTACAATTCTACTATGCTTGAACGAGAAATGTCCCCCCTTTGGGAATGGCCTAAAGACACTTCAGTCAGTGGCACTGCCCCGGGGGGTTTGTGAACTGTAACACAATATCTTCTGCTGTAAATGCCATCACTACTGACTACACCTGAAAGTATCTCATGCTTGGATGGAGGCCGAGATAAGAGCAGATGAATAGGTTCTGGCTGCTAATCAACACACTGTGTTGAGCACACCATGTGTTTGCGTGATGACAACATTCTTGGCTCTAGATGCAGGCAACCAATCAGGTTTTGTACAGCTCCCAAGGTAATGCTAATAATAGATTGCATTTACATAGCGCTCTATCCCATACAAGTATAAGCTCTGAGCACTTCACATCAATCACGTTATCACAAAAAAATTGACATTCACACTGGATCAAATATTCCACTGTAACAAGAAAAACCAGTTCAACAGAAAACTTTCAACCAATGCCATTAATGCAGAACAAAGGATACTGGTGCCAAAATTATACCTACAGAGCTGGGTACTGTTTTCACCCTCAAACGTGTCAGTCAGTCAGTCACTCTTGCCTCACTATGTTTATATCAGTGTACATTTCCATTTATGAAAATAGGCACATGTTTCATGCAACCGGTTAAGATTCTTCAAATATAAAGCATTTTTACCTGTGATTACGAAGGGCCCTCTAAGCTCATGAATGCAGTGATTATTTGGAAGAGTGATAAAGGATTCACCACATTTTGTTCCTTTGAAGAAAATGGCAGAGGAGAACTCTAAGCTTGATCAAATTCATGTTGAGAAGGCAGCACAGCAGTTAATGGTTATTTTCATCCTGGCAGTCTGTGACCGTAATTTGATGCAACTTACCGTACGCACGGTGGTGAGTCGAGTGTTTAATGACCTTTAATTTATTCATCGGTAAATTCAGTTAAACTGTGAGAGGATTTATCTACATAGGTCAAAACAGGACATCATTGGTTATACAGTGTTTTGAATAAGATTTCAGCTGATTGTAAAAAGTAGACTCTTAATTCATACTGTAAAAGACACATGTTGTATCTGGTCTCCATCGTTTTATAGACTAAAAGTTTTCAAAGAGAGAACAAAATAGTTTTTGTTTAAAGATGAACTGGCACCGAAATTTCACTCTTTGAGAAAATTCAACAAACTAACAAACTTGTTCTTTATTGGTGGGAAGCCTCATTCTTGCAGGCTGTACACAGTAAAAATGTAGAAAACTCGAGAGGAGTGTGAAATTTGTGGTCAAGCAGCTGATGACGGGAGGGTGCGGGGTACAACCAGGGAGTCTAGATTCAGACCAATTGTATTCCACTACTCACCACATATAAGTTGAAAGGTTGAGTCACACTCTACTTTGGCGCTCATATGACCTTATGCAGTTGAGAGCGCCGTAAAACCCTCTTCTATTTAAAAAAAATACACTCTACATGATTGTCAGAGTGCCAAACGGTGCCGGATTAGTGCTATAGCTGTTGGCCACTACATTAGATCAGTCGCTAAAGTTGTGTGGATTTACAGCTGTGGATCAGGTTTCGCTTTCACATAATGACCTGATTAATAAATCAAGTTGCTATCACACATTCAGCTTCAAACGTGCTGTTCGAATTTATTTTATCTGAAAATTGAACATCTCATTTTGGATGGATTCGATAATTCTTATGGCAGTGCATTTGTATCCTGAAAAAAATATTATCTTGAAAAGTATGTGGAATTGATGGGGAGAGTTAGAAAATTCTATCTCGACTTGATTTCTATTTGGAATTTTTTGGTGTTAGTCAGGTTTTGGACCCCCACCACCGTGTGCGTTGGCTCTACACAGATGATCTAGTCCTAGTCCTATGGTGGGAATGTCTGCTTATTGTCTGTGCTCTTTGGTCTCTGTGTGCAAAAAGGCTGTCATGAAAATCAAGTTTGAAATCCACTTAAAAATTTTCTTTTCTGTATTTATATCAAGTTTTGAACAAATAGAAGTTTTCTTTTTCCGAAGGAAAAAAGAACAGTCTTTTTTTTCAAGCTTTAATTAAGTCAAGAAAGGCCAAGTATTGTTATAATTATTGGAGCAATGTCCAGGTTCTCAACAACCTGAGTTTCATTATGACTGGACGCTGGTTATTACTTTGTGCTTGGTTTGTGTAATCTGACCCATTAAAGTGGATGGAAAGCGAGTGCTCTCGTGTGGGTTGCTCCATTCTTCTTATCAAACAACTATCGTCCTTATCTCTTCTCCTCCTTTTCTTTGTATGTTACTCTCTAGTTACTCCTCAAATCTTTTGGAACATATATAACATATTTGTGTCGCAACTGTTGTAAAACGTTAACTCAAACTGTAGAACTGACCCATGAAAATGCTATCATAAAATACTCAAAGGCAGTGTGATCAGAATGTAGAGAATTTAATTGTCCTATCTGAGAGTGGTTGTGTACGTGATAATGAAATTAGTCAATAAAACATGTTTTATTTATTATGTGCTCCCCAGTGCGGGTCCCATCGCTCAGGCCCTGGGCATGGGTGCGGACATTGTGGTCACCGGGAGATGTACAGACAGTGCCCTGGTCCTCGCTCCCTTGATGCATGAGGTAGGCAGGGAAAATGCTCCGGTTTTCTTTGAAAAGTAAAGTACCTTTGGAATAAGTGATTGGAAGGTATGACTAGTGCTTCTACAACGACTATGTTTGTATTGTCCCTCTGTTGTTTCTGTATGCCTGTCTTTAGTTTCTTCAGCTCTTAACTTAAGTTCCCTGAGCTCTTAGTTTCATTTTCCTCTCCTGTTAACTTCAGTTTTTGTGTCCTTCACCAAACAATATCCCCCTTCTGCTCCCTCCATATCATCCTCTGCACTCTCCTCCCTCACCCTATATTCCTCCCTCCTGTCCTTCTGCCAAAAACCTCTCTCGCTCTTCTTAGTACGTCATGTGACCTCATATACAAGACAGCCACAAGGTTTGTTAACCTTTTTCCTCTGTCCTTTCAGTTTGGATGGCGGATGGACCAGTTTGATGTCCTAGCGGCTGGCAGGTAGGATTTAGGGGGGTGGGGGTATCGGTGAAAGAGACTAAGTGAGAGAGGATGTTGGACTCTTGTGTTAAGAGATGGAAATTTTCAGCTTTTTATCAGTACTCTGCTTCCTCTGCCAACGAATTTGTTAAGACACAGTTTATTATGGACTGTTAGGAAAAGACGATTATATTCCTAAAATTTTTGGTTTTTCTTTTTTGTGCAATAGGTGACTTGGCCTATGATCATAGATTGTTAATTAAGAAAGTTCTTTGGGCTGTTCAGACTGTACTATGTAGGCCCTCAGTAAAAGCCCACCCCCTTTTCATGATTAATTATGCATTTTAGCTACCCTTTTATTATTTAGTTTTCTCCTACGATTGATCTTGCTTGGTATAAACATTATTTTTTAATCAGTCCTATTTTTGGCAGATAATGGTTAATAACATGTAGCTCTCACTGGTAAGATTGAAGGCTAACAAAGCAGGGGTAGGCTCGGAGAAACTTGTTTGTTAAGCCTCAACAGTTGGGTTTCGAGGGAAACATCAGGATAATAGAAAGGTTTTAAGAACGACAGAGCAAAGGAATGAATGGCAAGCCATGATCGCCAATGTATGTTGCTGATCTGACACTGGATGATGATGATGATGATGAATGGTTAATAGTTTATTATTTTATTGTGCAATGGTTGTTCCCTTATATGTTCAATACGTCCAAAGTGTGCAGGTCTGGCTCCTGACTTGCTAGTGTTTGATTGTATTAATTTGTAAGAGCCTTACTGCATATTGGTCTTTATTCCCTTATTCATTCCTGTTAATTATGTTCAGTTTTGAAAATATTTATGTATATTTATATAAATCTACAGAGAAGTATGCAGTATAACAAGGATAGGTCGAGCACAGAAGACTCGAAATCACGCCTCCGTCGAATTGTGCCTGCAGTTCCGGGTTTTTTCTTCTTCTTTATCTTTGTAAGATATTCCTTGAACTACGGATCCCTCGAACTACTGAGGCTGGTCTCGATGAATTCGAGCTATCCGTGTTATTTGAAAGTCATACCTGTATGTCTGTATGTTTATTAAAATTGGGTTTGGTTTCTTCCAGCTTGGCCGGACACCTGGTGGAGTGCGGAGCCCAGGCTACGGGTGGGATCTTCACCGACTGGCATGAAGTCAAGGACTGGTGAGAGGCTCCCATTCTAAATGTGGTCTATTTGGTTGTTTAATTTGCAATCTGGCGTGTTGGTCAGTGGCAGGGGGTTAGGCCTAGCCTATTGTTCGGCTGAAAGTGTGAGAGTGAGTAAAGTGTGTCTCAGTTCAGTTGTATTGTTTGGTGCAAGTGTATAAAAGCAGTCTGGATTACTACTGGTTAGACTTTAGAGGGGAGAGCTGTAGCAAGGCAGAGGAGGCCTGCTGAGAGTTCGGGTGGGGAAAAGGCTAGTTAGAGCCTCGGTTTATTTCTGTGTAACGTGTGAGATTCCAACACATCGGGGCCCCGTCGCTGAGGAAAGGATCACCCTCCGGAGAGAAACAGGTTTGGCTAACCCCTGTTGTAGGCGCAGGCAGACAGAAGATTAGTGTTAAACATTGTTTTATGTTCAAGTAACAACACAATATTACTTGATGTCTGTTATAGCTGAGAGAGGGGGTCCCTTGGTTATTATAGTTTTTTAACACTCTCCTTTCAGAATGCACATAATAATATGTCAACTAAAAAAAACATTTACGGTAAAAATGTGTAGAGTCTTCCTTCTTTGACCTTTTTGTGTTGCAAGCGTGATAAAACTTTAGCGAAAAATAAAAATTAATTTGATTATTGCCACTTTCTCGCCGTGTGCAGGGATCACATCGGCTTCCCTATCGTGTCCGTCGGATCAGATGGGAAGTTCACGCTGTCCAAACCTCCGAAGACGGGCGGGCTGGTGAACAAGGGCACTGTGTCGGAGCAACTCTTGTACGAGATCGGTGACCCCTCGCAGTACTTCCTGCCCGACGTCGTCTGCGACTTTTCCAACGTGCGAATCGACGAGCTGCCAGGGGACATGGTTTACGTGGACGGTGCTCGTGGAAATCCGCCGTCAGGCGAGTATAAGGTGAGGGACTGAGGGAGGGGAACTCTCAGTTATTGCTGTCATGTTGAGGATAATGATGATGATTCTGTTACTTCTTCTTCTTCTTCTTAACTTTTTCTTCTTCTTCTTTTCCTTCTTCTTAACTTCTTCTTCTTCTTCTTCTTCTTCTTCTTCTTCTTCTTCTTCTTCTTCTTCTCCGCCTCCACCTCCTCCTTCCTATTTGTTCTTCTTCTTTTGCTCTAAGAAAAGTTTCTTTAATCCTCCACAAAATTTTTGCCGCATGTTTGAGTAAATCCCCGTGGCACATCCTCCTCTCGCAGATTGTTCTCACCAGTCCTGTCTTAATTATTCCATCCCCCCGGGGCAGTGCCACTGTTTGTAGTGTCTTTAGGCCATTCCCAAAGGGGGGACATTTTTCGTTCAAGCACAGTAGAATTGTAAATGGGCTGATTCATGTCACGCTTATAACTGTGCCTGATCTACAACAGGGAACTGCTGCTTTTTCTTTCCTGATCCTTACTATTGTCATTTCATCTACTTCTTTTGCAAGTTTGTCACTCTCTTGTGACTTGCTATTTCCACGGTGCCTTGATAGTTGAAGCAGACCTTGTCCTGTTGAAGCTAGAGAGGTGAGCAGAGTAAGTCTTATTCCCTGTAAAGACTTCTCTGTTGACACCCACCCCTTGGCGCTCATGTGACTTTATGCAGTTGCGAGCGCCCATAAAACCCTCTACTATAATAAACAAAATTATTATTTTAGGTCAGTGCAACCTACGCTGCGGGCTACAGGACCACAGCGGCCGCCATTGTCGGGGGTCCAAGAGCCACAGAGAAAGCGGAAATGACAGCAAAGGCCATCCTTACTAGGTTTGAGTTCAATCCTTTTTTTAAATTTGATCTGAGAATTTCCTGTGGTAGAAGTTCCCTGATCAGGTTTGCATAAAATCCTGTTGTTGTTTTTTTCTGGACTTCCATTTCTATTTAGTGATATTCAACTTATTGTCAATGATGTGAAAATATGTATTTCTATGTGGGAAAATTTGTGTGTCTTTACAATACTGGTACACAAATATTTGCCATGGAAGGGTTGTTATATAATCTTAGTGTACCCAGGTTCTGGAAAGTCAATTTCTTTTTCTTCCCAAACCCCTATATTTTTTTTGGGGGGGGGGGGAGGAGGGGGTTAAAGAAAGCTCTTATTTTTGGTCCTGGAGTGGTTTGCAGGTCCGGTTTTGAATCTCAGTCTCATTATCGGTCATGTCAGTCTACTCTACTTTGTGGGGAAGTGAGTTTGAGAAGACTGGGAATGCCTGCTCAAGTGCTCTCTACGACATTTTACTCTCTGAAGAAGGAACTGTAGGAATAAAAAGATGTTTGGTTGAATGAGAGCAGGAATTTTTTAAATCATTTTTTTTTCTTTTTTTGCAGGTGCCGTCGCATTTTTCACCAGCTGAATCTGGATGATTTCACAGCGGTGAATATAGAGGTCGTCGGTGCGGATAGACGTCCCCTGGAGGAAAGGAACTGCGGAACAGTGGTAGGTCAAATTTGACGTGTTGTTCCAAATATAAGGACAGGGGGAAAAAAACACATGTCACTTTCCACACATTATTATATGCAAATATGGCGGTCGTTGATGTGGAGATGCCTTGCAAGGATAACTAATTAGTGCAGGCGGTTGGCGAGTGCTCTGGTGTGGTTTGCTCCTTCTTTCCTATCAAACATCTATCGTCCTTATCTTCCCTTCTTCTTTTTTATGTTTGTTGCTCTCTTGTAACACCTCTAATCCCCTGGCGCTCATATGACTTTATGCAGTTGCGAGTGCTGTAAAACCCTCTCCTAAAAAAAAACAACATCTGATTAGTGTTTGGATCTCAGGTATTCTTGCATAAGTGAACGCAATAGTTGATTCCTTTTGTTAGTTAGTACATGGCTTTGTTTCCTCCTTTTTCTGTCTCCTCTCACAGAACGAGCCCAAGAATGCTGTGCTCTGGATTGCTGTCACCCACAAGGAGAGGAAAGCCTTGGAGTTTTTCTCGAGAGAAGTTGCTCCTGCTGGCACGGGAATGGGTCAGAGAATTTTTTCCACATTGTTTCTTTTTTTTTTTTCACTTTCTACGTCAGTCTGTCTTTCTCTCTGCCTTTGACTCTTTGACTCTGTCTCTGTCTCTCTCTTTCTATCACACTCTCTCTCTCTCTCTCCATTTTTTCCTCTTCCTATCTCTATCATACATACACACACACACACACAAACACACACGCACACACACACACACACACACAAACAAACATAAACGCACACAAACACATACAAACACAAGTTGAAGGTCTTTACCACTCTGTCTTTGTCGATGTAAAGTTCCAAACAACACAGTAAAATAATCAAGAAGCATAAACTAATGATAATCATAAAAGAATAATATTGAGAATAATAACAACATAATAACATCAACAACAATAATAA